GTGTCTATTCAGGCCCGTTGCCCATTTTTTAATTGGATTGTTTGTTTTCTTGGTGTTGACTTATATGAGTTCTTTATAAATTTTGGATATTAATCCCTTATCAGTTGTATCATTGGCAAATATGTTCTCCCATTCAGTGAGTTGTCTTTTCATTTTGTTGATGGTTTTCTTTGCTGTGCAAAAACTTTTTAGTTTGATGAAGTCCCATTTGTTTATTTTTTCTTTTGTTTCCCTTGCCCAGGGAGATATATCAGAAAAAATATTGCTAAGAGAGATGTCTGAGATTTTACTGCCCATGTTTTCTTCTAGGATTTTTATGGTTTCAGTTCTAACATTTAAGTTTTTAATCCATTTTGAGTTTATTCTTATGTATGGTGTAAAAAGGTGGTCTAGTTTCATTTTTTTTTGCACATATCTGTCCTGTTTTCCCAACAACATTTATTGAATAGACTCTTTACCCCATTGTATGTTTTTGCCTCCTTTGTCAAATATTAATTGACCATAAAGGTGGGATTTTGGGGGGCTCTCTATGCTGTTTCGTTGATCTGTATATCTGTTTTCATGCCAATACCATGCTGTTTTGATTAATATGGCCTTGCAGTATAGTTCAATATCAGGTAGTATGATTCCTCCAACTTTGTTCTTCTTTCTCAAGATTGCTTTGGCTATTTGGAGTCTTTTGTAGTTCCATATAAATTTTTGGAATATTCTAGTTCTGTGAAATATGCCATTGACATCTTGGTAGGAATTGCGTTGAATCTGTAGTTTGGTTTGGGTAGAATACACCTTTTAATGATGTTAATTCTTACTATCTGTTAACACAGTTTATGCTTCTACTTATTTGTATCTTCTTCAATTTCTTTCTTCAGTGTCTTGTAATTTTCCAAGTCAGGTCTTTTACATCCTTGGTTAAAGTTATTCCTAGTTTGTTTGTTTTGTTTTTTTAATGCAATTGTAAATGGGATTGTTTTCTTAGTTTCCATTTTTGATAGTTCATTATTGGTGTATAAAAATGCAACTGATTTCTGGGTATTTATCTTGTGTCCTGCTACTTTGTGGAATTTATCAGTTCTGGTAGATTTTTTTGGTGGAAACTTTAGGGTTCTCTATATACAGTATCATGTCATCTGCAAATAATGACAGTTTTGCTTCTTTCTTTCCAATTTGGATGTCTTCTATTTCTTTTTCTTTGTCTGATTGTTGTAGCTAGGACTTCCGGTACTATGTTGAATAAGAGTGGTGAAAGTGGACATCCTTGTCTTGTTCCTGACCTTAAGGGAAATGCTTGTAGTTTTTGCCCATTGAGTATGATGTCGGCTCTGGTTTTGTCATATTATGTTGAGGTATGTTCCCTCTATTCGCACTTTATCCTAAATGGGTACTGGATTTTATCAAATGCTTTTTGTGCATCTGTTGACATGATCTTGTAGTTTTTATCCTTAGTTTTGTTTATGTGGTGTATAACATTTATTGATTTATGGATATTATATCCACCTTACATTCCTGGAATGAATCCCACTTGATCATGGTGTATGATCTTTTTAATGTATTGCTGGATCTGATTTGCTAATATTTTGTTGAGAATTTTAGCATACATTGGATAGTAATTTTATTTCTTTGTTGTGTCTTTATCTGGTTTTGGAATTAGGATAATGTTGGCCTTGTAAAATAAGCTTGGAAGTCTTTCCTCCTCTTGATTTTTTGGAATAGTTTGAGAAGGATAGGTGTTATTTCCTCTTTGAATGTTTGGTAAAATTTACCTGTAAAGCCATCCAGTCCACGACTTTTGTTTGTTGGGAGTATTTGATTACTGCTTCAATTTCACTAGTTGTAGTCTGTCTATTCAGATTCTCTGATTCTTCCTGATTCAGATTTGGAAAATTGTATGTTTCTAGGAATTTATCTATTTCATGCAAGTTGTCCTATTTGTTGACATATAGTTGTTGGTAATATTTTCTCATAATCCTTTGTGTTTCTTTGCTGTCAGTTGTTATTTTCTTCTTTGATTTCTGATTTTACTTATTTGGGCTCGCTCTCTCTCTCTCTCTCTCTCTCTCACAGCTTGGTTGAAGGTTTGTCAATCTTGTTTATATTTTCAAAGAACCAGCTCTTAATTTTATTGATATTTATTTGTTTATTATTTATTTATTGATTGATTGATTGATTGATTGATTGATTGTCTGTGTCTCTAGCAGATTCCAATCCCTCCCTGGCAGACAGAATCCCTGCTGATTTTCACAGCCATATGCTATGTGGACACGTCTTCCCAGCTTTGATGCTCAGGGCTGCGGAGCCTGGCTTGAGGTTGAGATCCCATGCTCCTTAGGTAGAACCTTTGCAACTGAGATATCCCTTTGGAGTCTTGGCCATTGCCCGTGGGAGCAGGGCCAGCTCTTTTCATGGCTCTGCCCTTCCTACCAGTCTGATGTGGCTTCTTCTGTAGATCCTTGGTTATAGTACTTCTGTTCAGCTAGCTTTTAATTGGTTTTTCAGGTTTATTGCTCAATATTTTAGTCGTAATTCTAGTTTGGTCCTGGGTATAGTGAGTGTAACTTCCACCTACTCCACCGCCATATTGGATCTCTAAAATGTATTTTCTACTGAGGCTTTTCTTTTCTGTTTTCTTTATCGTTCCGTTGGTGCAGAGATGGTGGGAAATCAAATTCTTAAATTGAATCTGAGTTTCTTTTCCCTCTACAGCTGCCTAGGAATTTTAATGTGATTATTCAGCCCGTAAACAAATGGGTTTTCAAGTTACCATACCATATATATATATTTGGTCCATATGTAAGAGACTTCAGTTACATTTTCTATATTGTTTAATCTGTTGTGCCCTTATTTGTTGTAAAAATCACTTGGGAAACCAACACGATGCTGATTGCTGGGGTCCTGGAGGCCCGGGAACCTATATTTTAGCAAGGGCTACACGTCTGGTGAGCAAGCATGTTTTGAGAAGCAGCTGGTTCTTGCCCTGTAGTAGTGAGCACTTTCAGTAGAGAGCAGCATCACAGTCAGCCTAGTCAATGTGAAGTTGAAGAAGTTGAGGCCAAAATTTTGAATGCAGACAGCTCTTTACTGAAATATTACCTAGAAGAGTTATAATGGATATACTAAGAACTATTGAAGAAAATGCTCTGTTTGTTTACATAAGTGTGTGAAAGTTGGTGGAGAGTCTTCACAGAGAAAACACCTCCCTGTTAGGGTGCATTCAGGATGAACACAAGACCATGATGCCTTCTGTGGAGGCTCTCCCGTGTGATGGCTGGACATTCATCCTGTCAGACTTTTAAGCCCCTGCCTTAGAATACCTCACACTTAAACATTTTAGAGAGTTTTAACCAGTCTTAAGGTCTTTGATCTTTACACTGTCCCTTTGACAGAGCAAGTGTCAGAGGAGGGATTCAAGGAAGGATAAGGAGCTGTGCCCAAGGCCAAGAGCAGCCACCAGGGGACTCAGTCTGGTGGGGATAGATGGAGATAGATGGTGGGGAGTGGGGTTGACGGCACTGACTTTAACTGAAGCACAGCTGCTGGGATGTCTCTCCAGGAAGCTAGATGCATCCTGACCACTGAAGCTATTGCTCTGTCCTGGTCCTAAGAGCGGGTAGCCTTAGAAAATATTTTCTCCTCCCATTCTTCTCGCTCTCTTGCTTTCTCGCTCTCCAGTAGCTCAGTTGCACTTGTAAATATGATGTGCTGATAATGCCATTGCTTTTCAAATGGACTGTGGGATGGGGATGGCTGACTCACAGTATGAGGGCAATATGTGTAATTTGATTAAAATTCCCACCTGGTGACTCCAACCTCTTATCCTAGAGAATTGATGGTTTAGAAGGAGTCGGGCAGAATTGCTTGTTAGTTGTGAAGGATGCTCGGCCAACATTTTCTGATGCTGCCCCAACCTGAGGTGAAGTACAGTATAGGAAGGACTTGGCAGTCAATATGATTGGCATCATTAATGATTGTGATGATGATGATAAATCATCTGTTATTCAGCTGTATCACTAAGCTAGTGGTGTAGAATTTTTGGCTGATCCCAGAATGGTCTTGGTTTCTGTCAGACTAACCTGTGAGGTATGAAAGCACCTAGATTGCTGGGGAGACTTGAGAACCTGATTAAAGGGAGAACTGCAGAGGCATGTCCAGTCCTGAGCTTTGCTCTGAGTCTCCCTCCACTGGAAGATCCCAGTGTGGCTTCTGCCTCACCTCCTCTAAGCCTTTACTCAGACCTCACTTTCTCAGAGGCTGATGCCCTTACCCCCCGTCCCACAGCTGTACTCCTGATCCTCTTGTCTTTTCCCCCTCATAACAGTTATGTTCTAATATACTAGATAATTTGTTCATTTGATTCATGTTTGTCTCCTTGCACAGGACTGTAAACTTCATGTGGACAGAGGTTGTTTTTCTTCCTTGATAAATCCCCATCCCTAAAATAATGCCATAGTACAGAACAGAGGTTCAGAAATTATATGCTGAATGAATGAATGCTTTCCAATATAACATTCCATGGCAGTAATAAACAATAGGTATAACATATATTAGTCACTTACTACTGATTCTGAATAAATATTAAATATTCCTGAATGGAGATTAAGTCATCCCCCTTTCCCCTCCCCCCCATTAACAGTAGTTTCCTCTGTAAACAACCTCACAGAGAAAGCTCTGGTGTAGATGAAATGAGTTAATGCACTTAAAGCGTTAGAATGGCCTGGAGTGTAGCAAGGGGTCAGTTAATAATTGGAGTTGGTAGACTCGTTTGTTTAAAATATAATTATATGGTATACTTATTTTTCAATTAAACCTAAAGTTAAATGGTTTAAGAAGGAAAAGAGCCATAGATGAATACACAATTTGGGTATTTTTTTACATTCTTGTCTTTATTACAGTGACAACACACTTAGATTGACAAATAATTGAATTTATTATGGAATCTCTTATAATGTAACATCAATTTTAAAACAGCTTGGGGGTTTCACATGAGCCTTTTTTTTTTCTTATAGATCCCCATATTAAGGTTTCTGGAAAGAAAGAAGATGTTAAGGAAGCCAAGGAAATGATCATGTCTGTCTTAGACACAAAAGTAAGTGAATGTTAAGGACACTCAGATGTCAGAACCTTGTCTCTGCAAGGGCTGCTTCATGCTGTTATGAAAGAACCATTTGGAGAAGAAAAACCAGGAGAAAGTAATGGTGGGTTTTAAAATAAGCACGTGTGATTCTTCAGTGGATGTAAAGTTCTGTTTAAAATCTGAATAGAGTCTTTCTTGCTGGCTGAGTAATGGAATAATATTATATCTACACATGTGTATAGATACACACATGTGTATGTATGTGTGCAAATGTATATATGTGCATATGTATGTAGTATGTATATGCCATCTTCAGAAATATGATTTTCATAGGACAAGTAATGAAGGTTGTATTAGCATGTTTGCCTTTATGATGCCAGTAGAAAACCAAAATGATCTTTTGTATAGCTCTGTGTGTGATGGCATAAAACTGACACTTTATCTTGTCCATTCTTTCTCTGAAAGTGTATGTACGCAGATAATAGGGAAATTTAAGTATTTAAAAATGTACACTCGTGTATTTAATTTTAATAAACACTTTAAATCACTTACCTTGATAAGCACTTTAAAAATACTAATTTTTTAATTCTTATAACTTAGCAAAGAGATATTAGGGAATTTAACCAGGATCCAAGAGCTGATAAGTGAGGAAGGAGGTGGGATTTAAATCTGGTTCTTAACCATTCACTATTTTACCACCTGTTGTTTTATTGAAATGGTTTCTGATCTCTTCCTCTTTCTTTCTTTTCTTGTTCTTTTGTTGTTGTTGTTTTTACTTTAAAGAATTTTTACCTTATAATTATTAGCTATTTTAGAATTTTCACCAAAGAAGAATATCTTCCTGTATTTCAAAGATTAAACCAAAAGAACTAACTTTAAAAACCAAAGTATTGGATGGATATGTTTAAAATTTAAGAATTGAGAAGATGTAAAACTGTTGAAATTTTTGACTTTTAAATTTTGCTTCCTAAGGACTGAAGAATTTCAGGGAAATTCTTGTAAATGAGTAAAGATTTCATGTCAGTCTTTATAATTTTATAACATTAAATTTCCCCAAATTCAATACATGAATACCAACCAGACCATAATTATTATGTCTTAGAATTTTACATTTTGCTTTAATATAACTAATCTCATACTTTGTATTGTTTACTTAAGCCATTTTGCTGTTAAAGATAATTTTGTGGCTTTGTGGTCTCTTCCTCACTCTTACTCCCAGCAGAGAATAATAAGTCTACTTTGTAAAGTTTGACACAGTAATATAGAAGTCGTGAAAATGCTTGTAAATACTTCTTTATTTAGTTTAAATCACTTTTATTTTTAATCTCTAGTTTCCTATTGCCTTAGTTCTGCAGTCCTACTAACATATATGTGTGTGCATAAATATAGTCCTATTAATATATATGTGTATATATAGTCAGTCTTGTAAATGTGTTTTCAACTGGTTTTAGTTTTTTGAATTAAGTATTTCATGAATAATGTCTATTAAAGAAAGAATGAGTTATTTGTAATTGTAGCTGATTTTATTTAAAGGCTGCTTTCCAAAAGATTATCTTGGTAAAGAGTATATCTTTCTATTTCTTCTGACAAATTTGTCTTAAAATACAAATTTCTTTTTTATAGCCAAAGAGAAAGAAAGTAAACATTTACAGATTAAGTTGATTTTGTTAAGAAATCTGTATGCTCTGCCATGGCTCACTTTTTGTTAAAATTATTCCCTTGAGAGGAGGGATGTTTTAGGAAGTTGTTCCTTTTTTACGCATCAAGAAATAATACGTTATTTCCACATAGAGCAATCGGGTCACCTTGAAGATGGACGTTTCGCATACAGAACATTCCCATGTAATCGGCAAAGGTGGCAACAACATTAAAAAGGTGATGGAAGAAACAGGATGCCACATCCACTTTCCAGATTCCAACAGGAATAACCAAGCAGAAAAAAGCAACCAGGTGCTTTGTCTTTCTCATGAATTTTTATGTAACAAATTTTACAGCCTCAGTTTTCCATATGCATATCTTTTTTGGGAGATGAGAGCAAAAAAAATAATCATGGAGATGGCATGTAGTATAGATTGTATGACCCTGTGGAAGGACATGGAAAGGGCTTTGCTTTTTTGGAAGGGATGAGTTATAGGTAGGCCTTAAACTCTTGATCTCTGAATGGTTGGTAGAAGAGACAGGGGAGGGAATGATGGCAACATACAATAAAGCCCTAAGGAAGGGCTCAGAGAGATGTGAATTAGGAAAGGACCTAAGATATGCCTCACCCAGGCACCCATCCATGCTGGGATTCTGTCTGCAGCATCCCTCCCATGGTCCTCCAGGCTACATACATAATTATGCCTTTCTCTTTTAAAGAAAATATTTTAAATTACAGTTGACATACACTATTATATTAGTTTCAAGTGTACAAGCCAATGATTAGACATTAATGTAACTTACAAAGTGATCACCCCGATAAATCTAGTACCCATCTGACATCGTACACAATTATTACAACACTAGAGGCCCGGTGCACAAATTCATGCATGGGTGGGGCCCCTCTGGGTGGCCTGCAGGGATCAGGCTGAAACCCGTAGTCCAACGATGCCACTCCCGCTCATCCTGGCCCCACTGTGCCTGCCACCGGCTCGTGCCCAATCAGTCCCGATAGGGAGAGGCTCGCGCTGCCGTAGCAGCACTTGCCAGCTGTCAGCCCTGTGTCTGGTGCTGTCCCGAGGGGAGTGGCCTGCAGGATCAGGCTGAAACCAGCTCTCCGACATCCCCAAGGGGTCCCAGATTGTAAGAGGGTGCAGGCCAGGCTGAGGGACCCCACCGGTGCACAAGGGACCATAGGAGGGCATGTCTGGCCCTGTCTCGCCCAGTCCCAATCAGGGGCCAATCAGGGCCAGCTGGGGAGGGACCACAGGAGGGCTCCAGGGCGTGTCTGACCCATCTCACTCAGTCCTGATCTATTGGCCGGACCCCAGCAGCAAGCTAATCTACCGGTCTGCCCCCTGGTGGTCAGTGCACATTATAGCGACTGGTTGATCAGTCGACTGCCCCCTGGTGTAATGTAGAAGTTTTCTCTCTTCTCTGCTAATAACAACACTAGAGACTGTGTCAGCCACAAAGATGAATAAATGGAGACTGATATGACAGTGAGCCACATACATAAGGAACTGGATCGTAAGCCATGATAAAAAGCAAGGGCAGTTTTCAAAATATTTGAAGCTAGTATGGCATAAGCATGCATCCTGAGAGCAGTGTCCTGGGTCCCCCACTCTGACCCTAATAACAAGAGTAATTCTTTAGTGGGTGGATCCTGGGAACATCTAGAGCAGTGGTTCTCAACCTTCCTAATGCCGCGACCCTTTAATACAGTTCCTCATGTTGTGGTGACCCCCAATTTCATTGTTACAAATTGAACATAATTAAAGCATAGTGATTAATCACAAAAAACAATATGTAATTATATATGTGTTTTCCGATGGTCTTAGGCGAACCCTGTGAAAGGGTCGTTCGACCCCCAAAGGGGTCTCGACCCACAGGTTGAGAACACTGGTCTAGAGGATCCCAGGAGAGGGCCAGAGGTGGGTGTTAGAGCAAAAAAAATTTTTTTTTTATCAAACTAGCACGGAAGTAGTTCAGCATCTTGAGAACATAGAGCAGCTGCCTCCTTGCGTATTGATACTCCTCTAGTCTGCAGGGAGTTTAAACAGACGGGAGAAAATTCAGGGAACGAGAGGAATTATGAAGGAGGCAGGAAGGCCTCATGGGGGCTGTGAGGTGTCAGGTAAATCCAGGGGGTGATAGAGATCAGTTGACACGTATTACCTGAGCAGATCATTAAAATGCAAATTGTGATTAAGCAGGTCTGCATTGGTGCCCGAGTTCCTTCATTTTTAACAAGCTCCCAGATAACGCTGATGTGGGGGTTTCCTGGAGGACACTTTGAGTAGCAAGGATGTCGATAACCGGAAGAGCAGGCGTGGGCTCAATTAAATTAAATCTGACTCTGTATATCCTTATCTTTGCAGGTTTCCATAGCAGGACAGCCGGCAGGAGTCGAGTCTGCCCGAGTGAGAATTCGGGTAACCATTACTTTCATACCATAAATCACTGTCAGCAACGTTTTCATTATAGAGGATTAAAAATATTATGTATCAATTTATGATGAAATCATGCGCTCAGTCTGAGGGATATAGTGAAAAAGTTGGTTTCATCTATTACAGAAAGTTTCTTTGAAACATTCTGGATTTTACCTGACTTAGTTTTTCTCTGATGATTTTGAAATCAGAGTCCCGAGGAAAATGCCACAGGCAATTCAAGTAACAAAAACTTTCAGGTTTCATAAAAGGCTCCTGTCATTTAAGAAACTTTATATGTCCTACCCAAGTTTACATCTATAATAAAAGAATATGTGTTTAAAATTCCATCTTCAGGAAAGGATGAATGAATTAGACATATTTCTAAATGTGTCTGATAATTTATCTGCTTTGGGTTCTCACAATTTCATTGTAGGAGCTGCTTCCTTTGGTGCTGATGTTTGAGCTGCCGATTGCTGGAATTCTTCAGCCGGTTCCCGATCCTAATTCCCCCTCCATCCAGCACATATCACAAACATACAACATTTCAGTGTCCTTTAAACAGCGCTCCCGAATGTATGGTGCTACTGTCATAGTCCGAGGGTCTCAGAATAACACTAGCGCTGTGAAGGTAAGTGACTGAGCGAATTCCGAACATCATACATGAACAGACTATTCAAGTTTTATTTATTTATTTGCTTAATATATTTTTATTGATTTCAGAAGGGAAGGGGGGTTGGGGAGAGAGAGAGGGAAACATCAGTGATGAGAGAAAATCATTCATCGGCTGCCTCCCCCATGCTCGACTCTGGGAATTGAGCCCACAACCTGGGCATGTGCCCTGACTGGGAATCCAATTGTGACCTCCTGGTTCTTAGTTCAACACCCAGCCGCTGAGCCATGCCAGCCGGGCTCAAGTTTTATTTTTAAAGGATTTTAGACTGGTTTGTTTTCTAGAATTTTCTTTTGTATTACATTCTGGTCTATATGTGTTGTATTTTTCCATAGCTGTTAGAAGTGACTAGAGCCCTGGCCACTGTGGCTCAGTTGGTTGGGTGTCGTCCCAGGCAATGAAAAGTGCCAGTTCGATTCCTGGTCAGGGCACATGCCCGGGTTGTGGGTTTGATCCCCGGTAGGGGGTGTGCAGGAGGTTTCACTCTCATATCGATCTCCCTTTCTCTAAAAAAAAAAAAAAAAGAAAAGAATTTAAAAAAGAAAGAAGTGTGCTCGCTTCGGCAGCACATATACTAAATTTGGAATGATACAGAGAAGATTAGCATGGCCCCTGCACAAGGATGACACACAAATTCGTGAAGCGTTCCATATTTTTAGCATGGATGGAACTGGAGAGCATTATGCTAAGCGAAATACGCCAGTCAGAGAAAGATAAATATCACATGATCTCACTCATTTATGGAATATAATGAACAACATAAACTGATGAACAAACACATCCAGAGACAGAGAAGCATCGATCAGACCGTCAAACCTCAGAGGGAAGGTAGGGGAGGGTGGGGGTTAGGGTGAGAGATCAACCAAAGGACGTGTATGCATGCATATAAGCCTAACCAATGGACCCAGACACCGGGGGGGTGAGGGCATGAATGGGAGGGGGGTGTGGGGGGCAATGGGGCGATAAGGACACATATGTAATAACTTAATCAATAAAGAAAAAAATCAACAACTACAAAAAGAAGTGCACTAGACTCTCCCTGTATGTGGAAAGTCATTTACACGAATATTTCTGTCCCACCTTTTCTCCTAGGAAGGAACTGCCATGCTGTTGGAACATCTTGCCGGGAGCTTGGCGTCTGCTATTCCCGTGAGCACACAGCTCGATATCGCAGCTCAGCATCATCTCTTCATGATGGGTCGAAATGGAAGCAACATCAAACATATCATGCAGAGAACGGGTGCTCAGATCCACTTTCCCGACCCCAGTAATCCACAAAAGAAATCCACCGTCTACCTCCAGGGCACCATTGAGTCTGTCTGTCTTGCAAGGCAATATCTCATGGTAGGTTTAGTGAAATCCAGGTTACTTTTTCTTTATTTTTTACCTCTTTGGGTACAGTGTATACTGTTGACACACCTTGTGCGGTATTTGTGAAAGCACTTTGGAAGCGAGGTCAAGGAAGGAAGCTTCTTGGTAAAAGGAGATAAAGGAGTAAGGTAGGTAATGCCTCACAGGCTGAGTTTCGTTACATTAGTGAGAGATTTTGCTGCAGGACTTTTCCTTTTTAAAACTTAGACTAAATGCAGAAGAGGTTCAAAATGAAATAACTGTATTTTGTGGAGGGTGATTATTTTCATACCACAGATAGTAGTTTGTCGTCTTCATCTGACAAAGTCTTCTATTTAAGCAGAAGAATAAAAATACATTTTAAACATTACCCTCAAAGACATAGATTTTGATAGCATGAAACATTTGAACATTTCCCAATCTCTGATATAATTTTAAAAATTCTGTTTGAGCCAGAATGCATTTGAGTGTCATGCATTGAAGAAAAATAGCAGTTATAGAACTCAGTGTTGCTTCTAACTCCTCCCTATATTCATTTAAAAACCCAGTGTGTAGATTGATGTATAGTTACTAAATGGACTGACATAATGTGGACTCAGATATTTTTATTAAAAACACCGTTGTATTCTTTTGTTAGCACTTGACCTTCAGTGACATTTGAATCAGTAGCTTCAGGAATGGCCTTTGCTATCATTAATTTGCAGACTTCGTTTGTGAGAAACTTTTAGAAAATCTCGTTTTGTCTGGTTGACTTTATTTCTCTGACAGATGAAAACTTGTTATAATCATTAAGGGTTATAATACATAATTTTATGAACTTTATTTTGTTGTGAATGATATTTTTAGCCCAACTTAGTTTAATCAGGCTATTTTGAGTACACTACTAATTACATAGCATATTCATCTCCAGAGATTATTATGCTTATTCTTCATATTTTATTTTTGTCTGCTTTTCAGATTCTTTAGCTATTACTTTGAGTTCAGTAAACTTTTTCAAACATTCTGCACAGTTATGAACTTATATTCATACTTTGGCCATACCTGCCAAAACTATAGGCATGCAATGAGACATATTATTGCACAATATTAAAAGGAGGGAGGGAGAGATACATTAAAAGGACTTAACCTGTATTTCAAATACCATAACCTTTTCTTTATAGCCATGTCCTTACAAAAATCACTTCTACCCACAAGAGAAATGAGACATAGTAATTTCATGTTAGTTCTACTATGTTTCATGATACCTTCTCCCGATACTTATGTACAAAACACGTCACTCATTAGGCTAGCACCGAGCATCCTGTGCATCAGAAAATGTGTGTGACATTTTTCCTGTGCTAGGGGCTAGGGGCCAGGAAGAGAGCATCAGAGAGAAGAACAAGTACCAAACCCTGCAGTGCTCAAAGGGAGGTAGTTCAAAGAAGGGACAATAGTGGCTGTGAACTTGAGAGAGGAGGGAAGGCTTGAGCTGCATCCGAAGAGGAGTAGGCCTTGGGATGGTGAAGAAGCCTTCTGATGAGCGGAGATGCCAGCGTACAGTTTAAAAGATGGCCTGGTCCAGCCTGGAGGAAGGGGCAGGCATGCAGACACAGACCTGCGATTGCACAAACACAGCCAGGCCACAGCTGGAGATCTTAGATGCTGACGCTTGTTTAGACTTCATTCAGGAAACCATGAAGAGCCAGCACTGTCCGTCTTTGAGCGCGGGCACAAGGCGAGTACCCTCGATAGGGCTGAGAGTCCAGTTTCTGGCATCACTGACACTCTGAATCCAGAGAATAGAGGAATTTTCCCAAGTGGAGAATGAATGAAAATTCAGGGCCAAAAACAGACACTTAAGACACATACAATTTTGTCATCCAGAAAATAGTTTCTGCCATTCAACCTTATTTTCCCACAGTCCTCCAAGCTATGTGAAAGTATCTGATTTAGCTTTACTGCTTGAGTTTACTCTTTATTTTTATCTTTTTATAGGTTTCAGGTGTACAATTCTAGAATACATCATCTGTATACTGTATTGGGTGTTCACCACCCCAAATCAAGTCTCCGTCCATCACCAATAGAATATATCATCTGTATCCTGTATTCGGTGTTCACCCCAAATCAAGTCTCTGGCCATCACCATTTGCCCCCCTTCACCCTCTTCTACCTCCCACCACCACCCCCATTTCCCTCCGGTAACCACCATACTGTTGTCTGTGTCTATGAGGGTTTTTGTTGTTGTTTTGTTTTTTCCTTAATCTCTTCACCTTTTTCTCCCATTTTACTTGTTAGATCTGTAAAATACTGCATTATTTGTAGGCATGTTAAATTATTTGATGTTTAAATGAGTAACTTCTTAACCTCCTACACTTTCTATTGTGACTTTTCCTAGGGTTGTCTTCCTCTTGTGTTGATGTTTGATATGAAGGAAGAAATTGAAGTTGACCCACAGTTTATTGCTCAGTTGATGGAACAGCTGGATGTCTTCGTTAGTATTAAACCGAAGCCGAAACAGCCGAGCAAGGTTGGTTTAGAGTCTGGATCCAGAGAACCATGTGTCATATCACATTCTGTTTTATTTGCATATAAGTATGCATTTGCATATTTATGGAACTAAATATTCTATATATGTCATTATATATTATATTTAGGTATTTTATATAAATATAAATTTGTAACAACATTCATTATTGATCACCATTTTCTTTATATGTGTGTTGGTTTTTGGAGCCCATTTTTAGTGACCATTATTTTTCTATAAATATATGAGAAGGAAAGAGAAAACCATTTTAAATTAACTTGCAGGCTGGTAACTTTAAATATTACTAAGCTTCTAGATAGTTGCTATAGCTAAATATTATGTTAATTGCACATCTCAATACAATTACAAAAAAATATTTAGCTTACTTACTATTTGTGAGTCACTGTGCTAGCCCTGGAGATTTAAAGAATAGGTGCCCCATTCTCTTTAATAATAAAATATTTTTAGGAATGAATTATACCCAGTTCAGCCTTCTTGGAACCTCTCCCTTAAGAAGTTGCACAATTTCAATAATTACATGTACAGTAACAAGTTAATGGGATAACTCCGATGATATTGAATGCTAGTAGAAAGTCAGGAAACAGGCATGTTTCTCTATTAACACAGTGCGGACCAGTAGTTTCATTGCTAGCTTTACCCAGTGGCCAGATAAGTTTCTATTGAACGAGTACAAAAAACGTTTTACATAAATGTTAAAGGCACCCTTTAAAATCAAATACCCATTGCATTTTGAAGTTATTTAATACATGTTCTTACAAGCTAATATCTTTTTAAAGTATACTTTTAAAGGCATCCTTTAAAATCAAATACCCATTGCATTTTGAAGTTATTTAATACATGTTCTTACAAGCTAATATCTTTTTAAAGTATACTTTGTAAAACACTGTGTAATACAAAGCGAGAATTCTCGTGGTGCGTCCGCAATGTGTTAATATTGTGCAAATAGGCACAATCACCTTGAAGAGCAATTTTGAGACCATCCGATCACACTAAAAACCCTGAGACCCTGCCCCCAGCAACTCTGCTTCTAGTTACACACTCTGAAGAACCTTCGTACCAGAAATTGAAGGATAAGAATGGTGTTGAATAAAGAAAAGCAAGTTGCATAATGACATGTACTCAATGGTAACATTTAATGTACATCTTTTATAGCAGGTGAAACACCAGTCACGTGTTCTATGTTTAAATTTCTAAACTATAAGTCTTATCATATACTCATAATAGTGTATGTAAAATATATATTAAATACAATTTTGTGTATCTGTAAATGATGTGGTATTCAGTGTCCAGTTCTCTTTCTTCAAAAGAAAACTGTAGATGGAAAGATAGCATTGATTCTGGTGAACTTGCTATAATGCGTTTAATGTGAGAGAGCAGGACCCTAATTTTATGTATTGTGACGCTTCATGCATGCCTGGCTAATTGAGTTTCTGTGGATGCCAGGACTGAGAGAGAGAGGAGACTTTTGAGGACTTGGGCACATAAGATGGACAGACACAAGAATTCCTGGGGTCCAGGAAGAAGTGAGCGGAAGTCAGGGGGAAATACACTGTGGCAGCATCCCAGGGCCATTTAATTATGCCTCCCGGCCCCCTGGTCCCTCCTGCTCTGCTTTCTCAGCCGCCAATTTCCTTTATTGTTCATTGGAGGCTTTCCCCCCTTGGTTTCACATTTCCAATTTTCTAGATGAGTCCATTGAGAAAAAAGATTTATTGTTTAGGAGTTTATTTTAGTATGAGCTTTGCCATAGATATGTCATCAGTGAGGAATAGTGGCACCTCACGGTCTATTAGTTAACTAGTAGACCATAAATGTCAAATGTAAGTGACTATTATTAAGCTGTACATATACTTTAGGGAGACAAGTTTGATTTGTTTTGTAAAAATAAGTAAGGGGGGGGGGAGCTTTAACAGAGACAAGAGGATGTGAAGGAGAACGGGCTCCAGAGAGGGGCCCGCGTTCCAGTCCTCTGGTTGCCCTGCACCGCTGTGCTGTGACGTTGGGTAAATCCTGTCTTCACTGAATATGAATAATAATTTCTACGCCACCATAAGGTTTTGGTGGGAACTGGAATATATGTGCGGCTTCCATCACAAGGCTTAGAACACAGGACACACCCAATAAATAGCAACTAACATGTTAGGTTTTTACCAAAAGGAGGAAACGTGATAAGTGGTTAGAATTTGCAGTTGGTTTTTAAAGCAGCATTAATGAATTTCCTAAGTGGAATTCTTATTACGGTTTTCATTTCCCACCCACCTCCCCAATTCATTGTAGACGACTTGCATGTCACTTTTTTCTTTCCCATTATGTGTTTTCATAGTCTGTGATTGTGAAAAGTGTTGAACGAAATGCCTTAAATATGTATGAAGCAAGGAAATGTCTCCTCGGACTTGAAAGCAGTGGGGTTACCATAGCAACCAGTCCGTCCCCAGCATCGTGCCCCGCCGGCCTGGCCTGTCCCAGCCTGGATATCTTAGCCTCGGCAGGCCTCGGACTCACTGGACTAGGTATACCGTTCATTACTAAAGCACTTCTCAGTTGCTTACCCAGTTCCCTTCCTTTCTGCCGCAGGGGCTACATCTTAAAGGGTATGTTTCTCCCTCGTCAGGCCCTATGTCAGGTGAAAAGCAGCAGAACTCGCATCAATCCATTTTGTTGTTGGCTTTTGTTGTTTTTTTATTGTTAGACTCCGTGGATTTGTTCCCCAGATTCTTCTTATTTTGGCATCAATAATCAACGTCTGACGTTTATTTTCGGCTGTGTTTGTTCTTCTAAATTAAGAATGCCATTGCGAGTGAAGTCAGCAGGCTGACTGTAATTTATGTGTTTGCTCTCCCTTGTATTTGCAATATTGCCACCAGTCCCTGGAGATAAAGATTATCCAGTTTGCCTTTCCAAAAGTAATTGCAAATCTGTATGAGGGGTGTGCAGAGGGGGAGGGGAGAGCAGGCAGACCCCCTCCCCCCTCTTCCCGCCGTGGCTAGACCTGCTTCGTGCAGACACAAAGGAAATCGAGCCTGCGGCCGCCAAGGGCAACAAATGGACCTGCATTCACATCTAAGGCAGCAAATAGGAAGATGAAGGAACATCGTCACTCGGTGCTTCCGTTTTTTAGGATAATAGAGCCAGTCATTTTAATAGCCATGGTGACATTTATTGCCTCATTATGGACTCCCGTCTTACAGGCTGAAGTTAGTGGCTGTATTAAATCAGGCTAGTTTCACTTCTTATACATTTTCTCAGTAGCCTTTATATGAAAAGTTAAAGCACTAACCCTAGCAAACCCATTCAGTGTTGATTTGAGACCGAAAACATACTCTTAGCAGTCTTTAAATTTTTCTAACAGCTATTCTTGCTTTAATAAATATAACATATTTAAATAATATGATTAATACACCAAGTAGCCTTGCTTCGACACCATTATGGTAAAGGCAGGGTTTTTTTTCCCTGGGCCCATCGTCTCCCAAAGCTGTCCCTTCCACACAGCAATGCACCTCGAAATGCCAGTCTCATCGCTTAGCAGGCACTGAGTTCTTGCTGCACTAGAGAGAGAAAAAAAGTGAGCAGACAGTCAGAGTTACTCAATTTTTAAAATGTTTTTATGGCTGTACCTATCCTGTAACACCTAATGCTTTAAGTATTCCTGGAAACTTATGTAAAAATCCACATTTTATTTTAGATGCCAGAAGGGAAATTTCATTACCATATTTTAAATGCCAGAAGGGAAATTTCATTACCTAAATCAGGCATTAAATCTTTAAAACAAGGGGAAAATTTTTTTTTCTCTCCTGAGAAAAGATTTCGCATGCATGGAGATGAGCGCGAAGGAGTCATGTCAGTGTTCTGACACAGTATGAAAACTGTTGCAGGTAGCCACGCCTGTCCACAGTGGGCCAAGCAGAGCCATTCCGCTGCAGGAAGTCATCCCCTTAGTCGCTGCTAATTGTATGTGGTTTGAAGCGTTTGTTTGAACGAGTATGACAACTGAGCTATGCAGGGAAATGAAAATGGGTTCCCACTGGAGCAGAATGTTGTTCATCTTGGCTAGTGACGTGAACGCAAAGCAGCTGGTGGTGCTCAGTGAACCCCCACTGCCTTCCTGGTTGGGGCACACACCTGTCTCCCATTTTCCGATCAGCATCTGTTTGTGGATAAGCTGGGCCCTGTGTTGAAATGGTATCAGGCTGTATTTCATGGGAATATTTGAAAGAAGGTAATCTATCACTCAGGTTTTATATTCAGAAAATATCAGATTATATCAGCGTGCATTCCAAATAGCAATATTGCTGCCATCTGTTATTTTAAAATCTTGAATGTATGCATATTGACTGTACATTCACTTATCACAGGTCTCTTGGGCCCCACCACCTTATCTCTAAACACTTCGACAACCCCGAACTCACTCTTGAATGCGCTTAATAGCTCCGTCAGTCCTTTGCAGAGTCCAAGTTCTGGCACCCCCAGCCCCACGTTGTGGGCACCCCCACTTGCTAATACTTCAAGTGCCACAGGTCAGTATCATTTAAGTACAATCAAAGGCATGTCTTTGTAGGTATTACCAGTTTTTAAATAAAATGTACTAGTGGTTCCATGTCCTTAGGGGGAAATCATGGTTCAAAGCATACTTTTTAGCCTAACAGAAATTTCCTAATGTGTAAATTAGTTAAAATGATGCGCGACAAAACAGTGAGTTTCCCATAAAAGTAAAACATAACCTTCGAATGTGACTAGCAGATCAGGAAAAGGAGCATAATGTGCAGGGAGCAGTGGCAAAGTCATATGAAGGTCGCTGACTTATCACTCGAAAGGTAGATTCTAGCTGGAGAGGTTAGAATTGCTCGGTAGGTATATGCACACGTGAAGTCCAGCTTGTTTCTTCGTCTGTACCGTGAGGAGCTTGGGTTAAATATTTCCTAGAGAGTTGTTCCATTTTAATATTCTTTTGTGTAGTAATGTTAAACCTGTTTGCAGAGAGAGATGAACATTGAATTCCCTTCTGAATTTGCAGCAACAGTGATGTTTTTTGAAGTTACTGAAGATAATATAATGCTTGTTGATTCTGTGTTCTTTCTGTCTAATATCTGTCTTCATAAAATGTTGTTCTAGGCTTTTCTGCCGTACCACACCTTATGATTCCATCTACTGCCCAAGCCACGTTAACCAATATCCTGTTGTCCGGAGTGCCCGCCTATGGGCACACAGCCCCCTCCCCCCCTCCCGGCTTGACTCCTGTCGATGTGCACATCAGCAGTATGCAGACAGAAGGCAAAAAAATCTCTGCTGCTTTAAATGGACACGCGCAGGTAATGTCCCTCAGGATGGTGGGATCTGTGCTGTTGGTAAGAGATAAGCCACTAGTAAAACTTTCAGTGGAAGTGAATTTTAGAATGGTGACCACATCCACATGCTGTTTTCTATTGTTATTTCAGCCTCCGAACATAAAATATGGTGTAATATCCACTTCATCGCTTGGAGAGAAAGTGCTGAGTGCAAATCATGGTGACCCGTCCAGACAGACAAGTGGATCGGAGCAGGTGTCTCCCAAACCAAATCCTGCCGAAGGTATCTTTCCTCTGGACTTCGGCGGGCCTGTTCCTTGGACAAAGGGGGTTGTAGAAAGTCCACGCAGTGATTTCAAATTGGTTTTGCTAATCGATTATGACTTATCCTGCCCGAAGTTTGCAGAAAGACAACATCCTGAATGAAATTCCAAAGAACATGGTGAAAGATAAACTGAAAAGCAGACAAACTTCTTACAGAAAGAATCCCTTTCCCATGACATTGGGACTTCCTAAATGAAAGTGAATGTAATTATGTAGCAGGAAAGCATCAACTTAGTGTGAGTGTGTGTGTGTGTGTGTGTGTAATTTTTTTCTAAGTAGAGTGGACCTATTTTTAATCCTTTCATCCCTAACTTTAAAAATATGAGGGTCATTTCTTCACATTTCATCTTGAGTTTTTGAGGCAGCCTGAACTTCAGGCGTCGTCTTTGCAGCTGAAAGCTGCTATGTCTGTGTCTCCCTGGAGCTGGATTCTGGTTTGTTTCCATCGCAGGGGATTGCTGATGGTGAACTCGTGTTCTGGGTGTTGTGTTTCCTCCTCTGCAGGCGGTAACGATGCTTTTGTGGAAGTAGGCATGCCGCGGAGTCCTTCCCACTCGGGGAACACGGGCGACCTGAAGCAGATGATGGGTCCCTCCACGGTTTCCTGTGCCAAGAGGCAGACGGTGGAGCTCTTGCGCGGCACGAAGAACTCCCACTTACAGTAGGTGTTTTCATCGGGGAGGCCCGGGTGCTTGGAAGGAGATTGTAGCGCGAGCTGGATAGGTTTTAAGTCAGGGGAACAACACTGGGTTTGTTGGGCAGTGAGTGCTCCTTGGTTTCAGCAAGTTTGGTCTCATCCACGAGTTTATTCATTTCTCTTTATAATTTCCTTTTCTTTTTCCTTTAAAACATTTTTTTTTCATTGAAGTAACATTGGTTTATAACATCATATGACTTTCAGGTATGCAACATTATACAGTGGGGTCTTGACTTACGAGTTTAATTCGTTCCGTGACGGAGCTCGTAACTCAAATTACTCGTATGTCAAATCAAAAAGTGAACGAGTGAGACACGTGATGCTGGGCTGATGTGGCGTTCACTGTGACGTTCGCTGCGCCAACTAGCAGTGGGGTATCTGAAGCTGGCTCGTAACCCGAATTTTAGCTCGCAACTCAAAGCAAAAAATCGGCCGAGACCGCTCGTATCTCGAAAAACTCGCTAGTCGGGATACTCGTAAGTCAAAGCCCCACTGTAATTGGACATCTGTATATACTACATCATGCTCACAACCAAAAGTCCATTTTCCATCTGTCACCATACAGTTGACCCCCTTACCCAGGCTGCCCCTTTCCACTCAACTTCCGCTCTGGTAACCATAGATCTGTTGTCTGCCTCTAGGAATATGTTTTCTTTGTTGAGTTTTTTTTTTTCACTTAGCATAATACCCTCAAGGCCCATCCTTGTCACAAACAGCAGAATTTCATCTTTTTTATGGCAGAGTAGTATTCCATTTCAATCTTAGTGATATTTTTGTGGATAAAAATGTTATTAAGACTTAATACCTGGTAATTCTCACCCTTATATCCTACCTAGAGTCCTTCTCGTCATAAACCTTGGGTGAATATCTGGGTCCTCTGAACTTTCTCTGTTGCTCTGAAACTTTTAACATGATCTCTGCTCTTCTGTAAGCAGCAGGGTGATTTTTACTCTCTGATGATTGCGTTTAGATACTTCCCTGGTGTGAATTCTCTTTCATTTGCCTTTGAATTTCTAACTGAAACCATGGCTACCTTGTTCTGAAGTGGTTAACTGCTCACTTTGGTGATAAATACTTGACAGTATATGATTTCATTTATTACAAATCACAGTGAATGTGAATACATATATTGTATTAAATATAACTCTCCTGTACAATAGGACAGTTACAAATGGGTGTTCCTTATTTTACTTTTCGTTTCTTTTCTTGTTTCAAATAGGCAGCCTGTGTTTTTTTAAAAGAAAAACAATGGAATGCTTCTGTATTGAAAGGTTTTGCTTCTATCCATCTCCATTTTCCCAATTTCCCCTATTGTCTTATTAGTTTTTTTATACAGCTGACCCTTGAACATGTGTGGGTTAGGGGCCACTGACCCCCTGTGCTGTCAAAAATCCGTGTCTAACTTTGACTCCCCCAAAACTTAACTACAGTTGTCCCTTGGTACCTATGGGGGATTGATTCCAAAATCCACATATGTCCAAGTCTTTATACTAAATAGCATAGGACAGTGCATACAGTCAGCCCTCTGCACCTGTAGATTCCCAACCATGTGTCGAAAATAGTGTTTTCAGTCTGTAGTCTGTTAAATCTGTGGATGTGGGACCCAGGGATATGGCGGGCTGCGTGCTTTCAGATCAACTCAATCCTGTTTAGACCATGTACCCAGGTGTCATTGATATCTCCCATTAACAATATGACATATATACTATATACAGAAAATGTTTGAATATATATCATGGAATAGTTTTAGCTCCGGCTCTTAGAGTCAGAATGCCTGAGTTCAAACTCCAACTCTACCATTTACCGGAGGTATGACCTTGGGCTTCCCTCTTCTGTAAAATGGGAATAATAATAATACTGCCTGTCTCATAGTGGTGTTGTGAGGATTAAATGAGATGATATATGTAAATAGTTGGCAGTGGCTAGCATACAGTAAGTGTGGCACAGAGGAAACATTCGGTGCATTTGTGTGTGTGATGGTGGATGTTAAAGTCCAGACTCTGTTTCACAGCAGCACTGACCGGCTGCTCTCAGACCCAGAACTGAGCCCTGCAGAGAGCCCTCTGGCTGACAAGAAGGCTCCAGGGAGCGAGCGAGCTGCAGAGAGGGCCGCAGCCGCCCAGCAGAACTCTGAAAGGGCCCGCCTGGCCTCCAGGCCGTCATATGTCAACATGCAGGTAACGATAAAATGAGTGGGAGGGTCATCCAAATGTAGGGGCTGGGGATAGAGAATGGCGAGTTCAGAAACTAGGTTTTCTTTCTGCACTCTAGTCCAAATTAAATTTAAATCTATGTGCAGTAGTTAGGAATTGGTTTTGCTATAAACTTTAAACATGAAATGCAGGATTTAGCTTAAATGGTTAAGTTATCCTATATAATAAAAGGCGAATATGCAAATTGACCGAACAGCGGAATGACCGGTCGCTATGATGCGCACTGACCACCAGGAGGCAGATGCTCAATGCAGGAACTGCCCCCTGGTGATCAGTGTGTTCCCACAGCGGGAGCTCTGCTCAGCCAGAAGCCCTGAGCCGGGCTCACGGCTGGCGAGTGCAGCAGCGGTGGTGGGAGACTCCCACCTTCATGGCAGTACTAAGGATATCTGACTGCCGGTTTAGGCCCACTCCCCACAGAGAGCGGGCCTAAGCTGGCAGTAGAACATCCCTCGAGGGCTCCCGGACTGCGAGAGGGCGCAGGCCGGGCTGAGGGACTCCCCAAGTGCACGAATTTTGTGCACCAGGCCTCTGGTTTAAAATATAATATGAAAGGTAATGTGAATGGTCTGTGTCACTATGTGTAATGTAAATGACACTATTCACCTGTTGTTTTATAAAATTTTAGATAAATACCAAAGCTGTTATTTCTAAGTATTACTGCCTCTTGACATAGTCTTGAATAAATAGATATAATAATCCTTCTATCTATAAAATGGAGGTGATAAATTTGGTGTCATTTAGGCAGTTATAAAAATAGCTAATATGAAGCTTTAGTTTTTTGAAAATAGATGATAAATATTATTGATGATTATATTGATTCACAAATTTTTATGATTATTTTAAACAATTTCCTCAGGAATTTTTCTCTATATCTGTAGTAGGCTAACTACTCAAAGTAGACTATTGAACATGAAGTTCAGAAATCTGATTTCTGTATAGATGACAATATGAAAGATAGGGATTTTGTGCTTTTAGAGATTCCTATAACCGTTTGATTTCAGTACCATAATTATTGGGTAGACTTACCTACTTCATAATAAGAGATATATTGCCCCACTCCCCAACGCCAAAAAAAAAAAAAAAATCCTAGAAACCAAACTGTCACAGATACATAAAGAAATTAATTTGTGGAACTAAATTATACTTCTATAATTCCAGCAAAAACTACAACTCAATCCTGCTTATCTGTTCTTTTAATCCTTTGCATTTGAACATTTCCATGAGATTTTAGATGAATGTTTTCACAAAGCCATGGCCTTTATAAAGTGTCAAAGTTTTTTAAAAAATGATATCTGATACATTTTCTCTAGCGGGCTTATTTTCAGTTAATATAAATTAAAATTCCCTCCTCAAAGATGTATCAAATCTGCTTCATGATCCCTTTATGGTTTTCGTCCGTCTCGTGGTTCTTACTTTCCATCCATTTTATAACTAGAGTGAACCACTTTCATGTTTCTTTCTTTTAGGATGGGTAAGAAATGTTCTTGGTGATACAGTTTCAACTTAAATAGATGTGTTTGTGCCATTACTACAGCGCTGACTTTTAAAACCATAAGAAATCAATGACAGTAGTCATCTAGCATTGACGGGGAGAAAGAGTGAAGACTCCCTGATTCCCCCAGCTGAGAACTCTGTCTCCGGTGGTCCTTGGAGAGCTGAATCCCCAGCTCTCTCCACACTTATCTCACTTCCTAATTTATTTTGTAGTTATTTCCTTTACCCGTCCCTGCTGAGGCTCTCCGTGCTCTGAAGCTATAGGTTTTATTTTTCATTTTTTTTAAATTGTGGTTTTCTTCCACAAAGTGCCGCACAGTCTCTTTAACCTGAGGCACTCCATACATATTTATTATAAGAACAGGTGAATGTAGGATCTTCCCACACCTTGCCCTTAGATGTTGATCGTTAAAAGTTGATTTTAATTTCCATTGCCATTTCAGATCTAACGTTTCAAAACCATCGTCAAATGTGTTCTCTAAAAATCCACTCTCCTGATTTACTGCCACGTTCTCAGAGCTCACCACACGTCCTGGTTTGTCAGGGTCAGCCCGTTTCCTTGTGTTATCCTGACCTAAGTATTATTTGTGGCACATTCCCGCTCAGAAGTCTCCTGTTTCACACTGTGAATTACCTGGGCGTGCAGCCTACATATGGTGATGTGGTCCCCTGGGAAAAGGGTCAGAAGAGCTCTTGCCAGCTGTTTCTCAGCCTCCTGGTAGCCTTTAAGACATTGTTAATCAAGTCTCACTTCCTCAGCTGGGCAGTTGAGAACACTGGGTTAGCATGTGAGATGTGGCTCTGTCTAGACCACTTTCTTCCAAACGACCTACCGTGGTTTCTGTGTAGACCTGTGTCATATGTCACTTATTCAGTGTGAATGAAAGAGTGGATAGTGCCATCCTACTCCTATGCAATACAAGGTAACTAGGTTTAGTTTATTGTAATGCTTACTGTTATTATAGCTTAAAGCTCGACATTTGCTATTTTTCTCCTTTCAAAAGCAAAGACCATTCCAATTGGGCTAAATAATTTCTTAAGCTGCCTGGACATTACACTGCTTCAGGCCATCCTTTGAAGAGGGGATTTTGAGAAACAGATGAGGCCGGTAGATAACCTGAAAGCATTTTCATAATGCTTTATTTTGAAACTTAGCAGAACTACTATTAAGTTATTTACTGTGCTTTAGCATATACTTATCCTGGTGTTTTAAATATTCATAGAAAATAGGATTTTTTTTTTCTTTTGAAGGAAGATTTCTGGCTCTTGTCATTGTCTCAACTTAAAGTCAAAAGTAGTAATTTATATTCTAATTAATTAGATTTGAAAACATGTTTAAATTGATCAGACTTGCACTGAATTAATGAGACATTATGGTGCTTAGCAGGTAGATTCATGGGCTCTAGTCAAAACCTTGGTTTTCTAATCAGCATGACATTTGGATAAACTGGCAATAAAATACTTTCGCTCTGTTTTATTTTCAGGCATTTGACTATGAACAAAAGAAGCTATTAGCAACCAAAGGTATGTGATATAGTAATGATTTTGATTCTCCCCTCCCCCATCAAAGACCCATAAAAGATTCTCCAGTATTCACGTTGAATTGTGAAATTGGACCGTCATAAAAAAAATGTTTAAGTTCAAAGTTGCAAAAGTTTTGTTGGGGTTAAATGTACTTTATTGAGTAGATTAGCATTAGATCAATTATGAAATAAGGTAGCATTTTAAAATATAATGGCATAAAATATTTTATGACGATATTTTAAGGCATTTTGTATTAAATAATGTTCAGGTATGATTTCTTTACATATATCAAAGGAACAGCACGCTTCAATATTTTTAAAAATATCAAGCATTGTGTTTTATATTCTGTGTTCCAAAGCTATGTTAAAGAAACCAGTGGTGACGGAGGTCAGAACACCTACAAACACCTGGAGCGGCCTCGGGTTTTCTAAATCCATGCCAGCCGAGACCATCAAGGAGCTGAGAAGGGCCAACCACGTGTCCTATAAGCCCACAATGACAACCACTTTTGAGGTTTGTAGAGCCATCCCTGCCCATTCTTCCTGTCTGCTCTCAGCAAAGGAGAACAGTCGTCATCTCTCCCCTCCCATTCTTCATTAAGTAGGAAAAGTCATTAATGGGATTTGTTTTAATTTCTATTCTTATAAACATATTGCTGTAAAATGGATGCACTCTAACATGCTCTTTTACATGTCTTCTCTCAGAGTTGTGGATCAGCTGTTTGTTATGGAGATGTAAATTCATAACTGAGTTTTTGTTAGGAGGAGAGTGCCGTAAATGCTAAAACAAGGCTGAGATTAAGCAAAGGATAGATGTAACAATAGTCCATAAAATGTATAAAGAATCCTTTTATTCAGGGGTATCGCTAGCAAGCCCACCATAGGGAGAAAAGGCAAATATTCAATAAAAGCAAGTGTTCAGATATGAGTTAAAAAGTCAGTGTGTTCAGTTGTGCCAGGAACACAGCAGGAAGTATCACAAACAAGAACTCCAGAATTTTATGTTTCCCAGATGTTGGCTGCACTGCAGGGTGAGACTGGGAAGCTGGCATCTGCGCCACATGGAGAAGGGATCCAGAGTTCCCAGCTCCCCAGCCAGGCTACACATGACTCGCCCAGCCAGCCTTTTCAGCTTGAGAGGATCAGATTTTGGCTCTAAGCCCTTTGCGAGTGGGGGTGGAATAAGAGCGCACACGCATGCACACACCAACTGGGGAGACTGAGCAAACCCAAACACGGATGGAAATGACTGATCCAAGAATCACAATGTTCAACCAGAACACTGCAGACTGAAAAACAAATACTGGTGAAGGGTTTCATAATTGTTAGTCTAATCACTAGCATTTGTAGATTGACCTTCTTTCCACCTGTTTTCTTTGTAATAAATTAGACTGTTGATGAAGGGTAAAAGCAAACGTGCATTTTTTCTTCGTCTCTTTGCGTAAGTGAAGAAGCAAATACTATTGGAATACTAAAAAGAGGTCAGTCTCCTATGAATTTTGAATTTCATTGTCAGGCCTACAGTAGCAACCTGACAGCTGTATTTAAAGATTGAGGTTACTGCCAGCAATGAGAATATAGGGACCTAGGGAAAAGTTTTGAGGCTCTAAGAGGTGCAGTCCTCTCGCTGCCATTGTAGCTCTGAGAGAAACTAAACAACTTTTGTTGGCAGCGACCTTCTTTCAGCGGATGCACCTACAGTCTCGTCCATTTCACTCACCTTTGTTTGGTAGGATGGGGTGTTAGGTGGTTGATTGTGTTTCTGTACTTTCAGAGATGGAATATTCACTGCAGAAATGCTAATTCAGTTCTGTTCTCAAAGACCAACAGTGTGACGGTTTGAAATGATCACTGTGACAATGTAGTCAAGTGCAGGGGCTGTGGGGTCCGGCAGCCACCACTGATCGATGTGCAGCTCTAGGGAGTGACTTCACTCCTCCGAGCCTGTTTTCTCATTTGGTGGTTTAGAGGCTCACATGGCAGAGGGCAGCCAGTGCATAGCATGGTGTACGGTAAGTTCTGAGTAATACTTAGCGGTTCCTGTTATTTCCACTGGAGAACTTTACCCTGAAGAAAACCAAGAGCTTGGAATGTTGATTTAGGAGGCTATTGGTGGCAGTTGTGGAAATAGAGAGGAGGGGGTGGGTGTGGGTGTGTTTAGAGATAACATGGACAGAATCTGCCGATGGATGGATGGGATGTGGTGAGGGAAGGAGGGAGGAGAATGACTAAAGCAACTGGGTAAATGGTAGAGTTACATATTGAGATGTAAGGATTCTAAGAAAGGAGTAGGTTTGGGTGTAGCTGGTGGGGACAGATATACAACCGTTTAGTTGCAGGTACCCTAAATTTAAAGTGAGACCGTTACATGGAGGTGTCAGATTGGCAGCTCCAGGATAGTAATTTGAACAGAAAAGTTAAATCTGGAGGTAAAAATTTTGGAGTCCTGGATGTAGTTAAACCTTGAAAGAGGTGAGATTACTGAATAAGAGAGAAGGAATGCCAGGATCCAGCCCAGAGAGATGACATTCAGAGTGGAAAGGGAGGAAGATCCTACAAAGCTCCAGTGCCATAGGCGGAAACCCCGGGAGTGTGGTGTCCTGATGCCTTGAAGGAGGAAGTGTGAGAGGAGGGTGTGGCCCGCTGTGAGACCGATTGAGGTGAGAGTGTTGAAGTGAACAGTAAAGGATTCTCTTGGAATTCCCCAGTAAACGTGAAACTTTGGAAATCAGAGAATCTTGGTGTTAATTTTCTAGATCCAGTACAAAATAGGGTGTCTGTAAGATGCTGATGGAATGAATAAATGCTAGCTCCGTGCAGACTTTGAGATCTTTTAAATTATTATTTTGATTTGGGGGAATGAAATAAGGTAGACTTTTCTAGGTATTTGTGATTTGTTGGAGAGATCCTGTTTAGATGAGGCCAACACCGGAGTCATGCCAGATCTCTCTCCGCCCTCCAACTTGATTAGCCTGGTAGCTGGATTCTTGTCAAAGCATTGGGTCTACTATTCCTCTTCCCCATTGTTTGTCCTTTATGTGTGGCACAAGGCAGAGAATCTCTTGTAGATCTTTACAGGAGTAAGTCTTTATACCGAGGACTCTCAGAACTCTGCTGGGCACCTTCACGATGAGGGACAGAGATTTCACGGTGTATATTTCCAAGTCCTCGGTGGCTGGAAGACAGAGGATAGAGACAGGGACCACAGCCTCGTCCCCAGGAGCAGCATCCATGGGTGACGGCAGTGGTTAGCAACTGAAGTAAATGGCAGTGGTCTCCTGGGCGTTCTTTCCGCCCCCCCTCCCCACCCACCTTATTCAACGTTTTCTTGTCTGGCTTTCCTTGTGGACAGGGCTCATCGGTGTCCCTCTCGAGGTCCAACAGCCGTGAGCACTTGGGAAGCGGAAGCGAATCCGATAACTGGAGAGACCGAAATGGAATAGGACCTGCCAGCCATAATGAATTTGCAGCTTCTATTGGCAGCCCCAAGCGTAAACAAAACAAATCAAGTGAGCTTTGACTTTTAATCATACTTTTAGGTATAATCAGCGTGAAATTGGTTTATTTGGTTGAGGGTGATGCTCAAGAATGAATTCTGCACTCCGTGCCTTCAAGTGTTTGTCATAATTCACAGGCCACCTCCTCTGGGAAGCCTTCCTTCTTTTCCCCGGGGAAGCAGATCAGGTGGTTTTCTGCTTTCACCGCATTTTGTACATGCTTTTTCTCCAGCACCTGTCATGCACCTGTCTAGAGCATAATTACCTGTGTACGTAATTGTGTCCTCCTGTAGAATTTGAGCTCCACAGCCAGGGACCATATTTATTCATTCAGTGAACACTTTTTAAATGCCCACATGCCAGGCATTCTGTTGGGCTGTGCCTGATTTGTTATTTCTTCCCAAATGTCTGACAGTGTGTGACACCTAGTAGGTACTCAGTAAATGCTTATTGAATAAATGTAGGAAGGAGTCACGCACACACACACAAACATTCAGAAAATGCTTTTTCTCATCTGGAAAAGGCAGGGACAGGAAGATGTGGAGCCGACTGTGTCCAGATTAGCACCTTGGACAACAGAAGAAAGTCTGCTCAGTAGGTAGCTCCTTAAGGTGAAAAGCAGCATTTGACATGTTAAATGGACAAGATGTAGCTGAATTTATGTAAATTTAATTTATCTTTAAAGCATAAGGGTTCTGGCTTTAAAAAGATACGGTTGAGACTCAGCATGAGTCCAGTGGTTTGTCTGTAACAGCACCCACACTTCTGGACTGTGTTAAAAGATGAGCAGATGAGAATTGGCAGTAGTCATCACAATATATGCCTTCGTTCAGGGTTTGGGACGAATTGGGAGCCCTGAGACGCAGAGCGTGCAATATTTGAAGGCTCCTTAAAAGCCATCTAAATGAGCACAGTAGACACTCAGTAAGTCAGGTGTTACCATCAATCAAGTTGCTGTGCTGTCGAGGGTCTCCGATTTGAGAATACCATTCTGGGGTTGGCCAAGTCTCAGTAAGAGAGCACGGTCAACTCGTTCCTGCCCTTGTGCGCTGTCTGTGGGCGCCTGGGCCCTTCCTGGAGACGGGGGCTGGTCCTCCATCACTGACAGGAGGGCGGACTGAGGCGGCTGGTGCCAGGCAGGTCTAGAGGTGGAAGTGACCTCTGTTCTGTAGCCCAAAATAAATTAGTCCTGTACCTCTCCTTTCCCTTCACTTGATGCTGGATAATTAAAATTGTCTGTAAACTTAAATGCACTGAGGTTCAGGATTGGGGAGAAAATACCAGGATTCTTTAATAAAAGGGAATCATTAAAGAAACAGTTATTTTGCTTTTGTCTGATGTTTTAAGAGAATAGGGAGTTTAAGTGGTTACGATAAAAAGAAACAATGTACACTAACAGATATCACTAAGAATATTTTAGCACATCTTTTTTTTCACATTTTATTAATGAATTTTTTTATCTCAATATATGCCAAGTATCATTTAACCATGTAATCTACATAAAGATATTTTTATATAATATTTTACATTCTTTTTTATACTATGTCTTTAAAATCTGGTGTATATTCACACTTACTGGACATTTTAATTGCCAATAGCTACATACTAGTATAGCCAATGGCTACTGTACTGAACAGCACAGTTTTAAGTAATTTTTTTTTTACACCCTCATCAGCATTACCAATGTCTAGGTTTTTCCCAGGCATCCCTGTTTATACCAGTTGTTCCAGTGTTAATTCTCAATAACTCCCACTTTCACTCTCAAAAAAGTAAATTTATCATTTGGACAATTATATGGTAAACTTACCATGTTGTCAAGTCCAATGGTCACTTCATTGTGCCCATCGTATCCTGCTTGGCATCCCCCTTGACCCAGTACGTCACTGGTCACTCCCTCTCAATCTTTTCTGGTGACATTGGGGCCTTACCTCCAAATGGTGGAGTGGTCCAGGGCCGAAGGCCTTCTGAACTTGGTTCTGGATCCTTTTTCGTCACATTCTCTCCACAAGAGATAAGACATCTGTTTTTAAGAGAAAGAGAACGCTTATCAAGAAATTCCTTCCACTTGAGATAAAGGACTCCTCCACTGGGAGATGAAAACAACTGAAGGAAGTTACTAGTGGCACCCAAAACAGTGCAGAACGTGATTCTTAGATTTGGTGAACGCACTGACCCCAGAGGAGATTAGGTGGACCTCACTGGTCAGGTGAGTGTCCTCCTTCCCTCTCTCCCGAGGAATCCCCTGTGAGGCTGCATCTTTGGTGTAAGAGGATTGAATCCCTACATGGACAAGAGCCAGTTGTTGGCCGGGGATACGGGCTGCACAGCTCTGCTAGAATCTCCAAAGCAGATCTTGAAGAGTATTTAAATATTTGGTCAACTACTTGGCCTGGCTCACGAGGCCATCACCCAGCTGTGCATGTCACTGGACCTGAGAACTATACACAATGTGGAGAGATCGTCACCCATAAATCAGTTTCAGAGCCAAGCAAAGCTCAGCATTGCTGTCTTAGAGAATTTTTCTCAAGAGACCGATTTGTTTCTGTCCTAAATGAAATCCGGGAACTCCAGCAGCATTTCTGTCTCACTTCATGGTACTCTTCATGTTGGAAGTACTCTATTTTGTGAGCTTACGGCCCAATTATATTTTTGTAGGGAAGGGGATTTATGTGGTGCACTGTTACAGAACCCCTCTGACCGCAGGTGAGCACAAGTGTGGAGGCAGAGAGCCATCCGAAAGGAGCCCGGACTTGCAGTACCTTTCCGTACCTTAATTATGTCCCGAGGGTCTTCCTCCCGATTCCTCACTTAATTCACACGCAATCAATTATAAAGAGCAAATGCTTCTGAATGCTCCATGAGAAAGTGATTAATGATTATTAACTGCAGAGGCACTGTTGCTGAATTGCTGCCTCCCAAGTGTAACCTTATAAATGGCAAGAGCCTCTCTGAAAGCAATAACCGGCATTTCGTTAATGAAAAGCCAGTGTTTCACTCCGTAAAGGATTGCTCTGCTTCTGCAGCTACAGTTCTCTTCAGCCCAGCAATGAAGCTGAAATATTGGAGGGATTAAAACTTTTAATTAAACCTTGTTCTCTCCGGGCATTTGCACTTCAAGCCTGTCTCTCGTTTGCCCTTCAGCGGAACACTATCTCAGCAGCAGCAATTACATGGACTGCATTTCCTCGCTGACAGGAAGCAATGGCTGTAACCTAAACAGCTCTTTCAAAGGCTCTGACCTCCCCGAGCTCTTCAGCAAACTGGGTCTGGGCAAATACACAGACGTCTTCCAGCAGCAAGAGGTCAGTCATTATTTACTCATCCCCCTCTCCCCCCCCCCCCCCGTTTGGGTTCTGTGTATGACGACTTCTAGAATGAAATCCCTCGCTGACCTGTGACTGTTTTCACTGAGCATTGATTCAAGTCTCATAGCTTGTTTTTGCTGCTAAGAAAAACGTGATCTCATTTCCTATTTAGTGCAACTAGTAAACACAGGATGTGTGTTCACAAAAACACCCCTTCAACAGTTTTAGCTAAACAGTGTATTGATTCATTGCTCTCAAGGTCAGCAACAAGTCTGTATTTAATGTGATTTCACACTTTAAACTATTATCTTTATTTGTGGCTCGTAAATACCAGTACCTGAAATAAATGTGTGGTTGTTTCTGACCCCATCCTACTCACGTTACTGAAGTCTGTTCTCACAGAGTATAATGTACTTTTTTGCATGCTCATTTATTCTTTAATTTGCTGATTGGCTTTTGCCTAAACTGAGATGTTTTCTGAACCATCTCTACCATGGATTTGGTCTAACTGCTCAGCCATGGCCATTATGCTCTGGCGTAGAGAATAGAGCGTGACTCTTTCTGATAATGCTGTCATTTTACCCAGGCACAGCAGTGAGTTAGAATAGTTCCATAAATGTATCTATTCAATTATAGTTTGACACTAGCATCTGAGAGACCATCTGATTAAGTCAGTAATTCCCAGATCAGTGAATGAAGAATCTAGAATTTTTATTTAATGCTTTGTATCATAAATTGAAGGTATTGCCCATAGCTCAATAACTTAAGTTTGATTGCTGAACTTTACATTTTTTTTATAATACCAAAAAGGTTATAATGTGTATATTGGATAATTAGTGTTCTGAATTTAACCAAGGATGTTGTGAGTTGAATAACATTTTCATCATCAGTGCATCAAGGAATTGCACTTATTTAGTCCTGCTGCTTAGATGAGGGTGGCTGATTGAGAAGTTCAAGGGCAGAGGTATTTTTTAACTAGTCCAGAAACAAAAGGTTTCCAAGTGAGATTAGATATTATTCAATAACATTCAGGGTTTCTTTTTAATCTATAGTATTTATTTGAAGAAGCATAGAAATAAATTTACTATAGGTACTTCTTATCCACTTATTTCAAAAAGGAAGAAAATATGATCATATAAAACCAAGGTGGCTGGCTTTATTTCTTATTTATTAGCTTAGAGCAGACTACAGCCTGCAGACTTGCTGCCTGATTTTGTCAGTAAGAGTTTTCTTGGAACACAGTTTCATTTGTATTTTGTCTGTGGTTGTTTTTGAGCTCAAACAGGAGAGTTGAGTAGTTGCAACAGAGTCAATATGGCCCACAAAGCCTAAAATAATTACTGTCTGGCCCTTTATTTCAGGCATCCCAAATTCTTAGTCTCCATTAAATAGAATTTCTAAAAACATAGCTTTAGATCTATGATAAATGAAAAACAAAAAGGTTTTACAAGATCTGGGTGTAACTTGTAAATCAAAACAAAATTTCAAATTAATTTCTTGAAAAAGGATGCATTACTATTTTCAGGTGTGTTGAAATTTGGTACTGCTTCCTTTATTTAGGATATTTTCCAATATTCAGGTATAACTTAATAAGAATCGCCCATTATCTAACCTTGTGAGATTTATTTAGCAACTTTCCCAGATATTTCTGTATACATTGTTATCAGCCATAGCTGCTCATTCTTTTATCCTCTCGGTGAGCCCTTTGCTCTATGTCTACAATCATATTTAATGCCCACACAAGCCCTGCAAGGTACACTACTCAGCCTGTGTACACACAGAAGTCTTCTCAGAGTCAGAATCTGAACCCATATCTCTCTGCCTTTGGAGCCCAAGGCCCATCTGTTCTTCCACACTGTCTCCCAAGGCGGGATGAGATCCCCGGCTAGCTGCCCTCCACAGTTCGTTGCTGATGCCACAGAGCACAGTTACACTGTTCCTGGAAAGATTCTTGTCTGCCAGGCCCAGCCACGTGGGTCATGGGTCTGATGAAGCCTGGGAATTCCTCTGTCATTCTTATGTAAAACACAGTGGAAGATACCATCTATGATATTTATAATTCAGCTTCTTTTTATAGAGATATACTTAAGTCAAAGCTAAGAAATATTTTCTCTCTTCTGGGCAGATATGTATTCTTCCTTTTATCAGTTCACAAAAAAAAATGTACAATTTGTATTTCCCTTTTTGTCCCGGCTGCCAGGATGCTCAGATCTAAGTTTTTAATCTCAAGTGCAGTCAATCGCTGGCTTAGACTAAGTCTACTGATAGAATAATCACTTTTGTTTCATCCCCTTAATTACTTTACTCTTGTCCCTTAGGTTTGTGACACCACTGTTCTTTTTTGGAAGCAGGCAGAGTATAATTAATAAATAAAGTAGGTGTAACAAGGAGTCGAACCCACAGTGAGGAAGAAAATAAATCCTTAGTATATTGGTTATAGATTACCTTTTCACCCACAGATCGATCTTCAGACATTCCTCACTCTCACAGATCAGGATCTGAAGGAGCTGGGAATTACGACTTTTGGTGCCAGGAGGAAAATGCTGCTTGCAATCTCAGGTGAATATAAATGCTCACACTCATATTTTAAGTCTGAATAACTTCTGCCAGTGGTCTCAGCCAGTGGGGCTGGTTCGACCCATTTACCACTTGCTTGCCACCCGGGCACCTTGGTGATTTGTGGTTTCAGAGTGCTTCCTGCTAACAGTATGACCAATGCTCAGAACATCCCCTCTTTCATCAAGACATCGCCTGAAAACCTGCTGTGACAGTAGCGTTCCTTAAAACAGATTTCTCCAGAAAGATCTAACCAAAATTGCCCTTTGCAGAACGTGAGCCGGGGGTTGCAGCACAATTCTCCTTTCTTGTTGTTGTGGTCAGCAGCGATCATTGGGTTAGTGAATAATGATTCTGGATTGACTGTCGTGTTTCAAGTGCATGTGTGCTTGTATACCAACAGAGGTCATTGCAGAGGTGAATGTTCCGTGGTACTGGCAGGTATTACTTGTCTGAATGCTTTTTATTTTATTATTTTTTTTACTAAAATTTTCATGAAATTTGTGAGTCACAGAAGGGTGTAGGATCCTGAAATTAGTCACAGAATGAAGGAAAATAATGTTGTCTGTCTCCCAGACTGCCTTCTGTGTGCAGCGGTTTCATACTCTATATATTACAAAATGCTCTACACATATTTACTGGGGACCTCCTATTTGAAAGGAGATGAGTCAGGAGTTGGCAAATACAGAACAGTGTACCTCCAAAAGGTGTTTTGAGAAATATGAGGAAGAAATGGGGGTGTCAAACTTTGGGTTACTCTTTGAAGACTGTCTGATGAATGTCCGTCTTTCAAAAACGTAGACACCAAGGGCAGAAGCCAGTGGTGGGGTGGGGTGAGAATATGACTTGGCTTTTTCAGAACATTGAAGCTGCAGGCTGTGCCTTTTTGAGGCCAGCAGGTGCATCCAGCTGGTGAGAGTCCTTTGCAAACAGCAGTCACTAATCAGATCAGCAAGTAAAATTTAAACCTCAGTGGTTTTCCATTTTGTTTTAGCAGCAGATTGCATCCCTCACCCACTTCCCCACAGGAAATCTTATCTGTAGACCTAATATCTGAAGCAGACATAAGCGGAGCGGCTTTGAAACAGGGGTGGAAATTCAGCCATTGAGCAGCCTGTTGGGTCCTCTGTGGATAAACACGGTTCTGCATGCATCAGTGATTAGGGACGTCTTCCTCCACCCTGTGTCCCCAAGCGGCTGCATTAAGGGAGCTCCATGGGCCTGACGCTTTTTCTTTTTCACTCATAAGATCAGCTTGACACAGTACAAAGAACACTGTATTCAAACAAGGAGATTTGGGCTTTGCCTCTGCCAACGCGTGAGTCCTTGGGCGAGTTTCCAAAACCATGAAGGTGGATTGGAATAGATGATCCTGTGAAGTTACCTTCTATTTCTACATCTATCCTTCCACGTGGTGCATATATGAATAGCAGGGGCCTCCCCTGTTGTTTTTTTATTGTCTGTGTAAATAGGATAATTTGTTTTTTTGACTTGTTTACCCTAAAGCTCCACCTCAGAGGGCTATACCTAGAACTAAATTTACTTTACATATTTTCGCATTCATCCATTAATGTGAAAATGAAATTTACACTATACTTGAAATTTGATTAACTCACAGAATCACCACGCTTATATTAAAATATGCCTGTGGGCCAGCACGTTTATAGAAGAGAGTGTTCCAGAACTCCATAATCTTTCTCTAGAGATTCATGGAATGTCGGTGACAGTAAAATGAAAGTTCAGTTTTCTTTGTGTACCAACCCACTTCCAAACTCTGTAAGGCTTCCAGCAACAAGCAGCTATCTCTAAATACTTCCAGGGGCTCCAGCTGGATTGTTACCGTCTTTACTTGGAACACGTTTGTGATCTATTCCAGGTGGGTTTGGGGGAGTACAGTGGGAAACAGCAGGGAGGGGGTTTGAGTCCTCTTTAAAAACATGTTTTATCCAATCATCATCTTCAGCGTGGTTCTGCTGAGGGTATAGCTCCCGTCGCCGGCCTCTCAGTGGGACTCACAGGTCCTTGCTGTGAACCGGAACGGGACTTTGAGTAAGATGCCTTATGAATGCTCTGCACGGCAGGAAGTACTTGATTATTTTAAGAATGATTTCACCTCACTTTGTTGCCTGCATTTGTTTGAACCTGGTAAATTGTTTTCTCGGCAAATAATCAGTTTTTGTTGAGAAGCCCTTCATCAAAAAGCTTCTTTTTCCAGTTCAGCTCATTTGATAACAAACACATCCATTTATAGCCTCAGAACATTCCATTTCCAGGTAGGTGCAGGATAGCTGGGCAGCCTGGACGTGCGTTGGCCTTGTGGTTTACAGAGTTTGCTCACAATTCCTTTTTAAAACTTTAAACTTATAATCAGAGTTCTTTCAGTGTAAGGTTTGGTTCTGTTTTTAATTTTGAGCCACAAGACATGTATTTTTGTGTTATAGGAGATGAGGTTTATCTCTAATAGAAATGGATGAGAGAAAAAAAATGATTTTTTTTTTCAAATCCATGATTTTTTGACAATTTTTTTATTTCTCTCAGTATTTTCGTAAGTAGTTAGCTAAATATGCAGGGACTGAGTGAAAGGACGTTTAGCATCCTGTTGTCAGGCTTCCCGCCAAGGCCTCAGGTAGATCTAACATTTCCCGACCTATTCTTTTAGTTTGTGACTCTGTTCAGATCCGCAACAAGATCCTGAGAGCTGCCAGGATTGTGTGACCCTTGGAATTTCAGAGAAAAAGGTTGGTATTTCCCCAATTATCCCTTAGGCTTACTGGAAAAAAAAAAAGGACAGAGTTTGCTTTTTAATTTAAAAGGCTAAAGTCTACTCAATAGGATTTGGTCCTTGAGAATCTCTCTGGGAGATTTGTATCTTAGAAATTACATTCTTTAGGGAATGGCTGAATTCCTTCACAGTCATTTTATTCTTCCCAAAACCTAGTTGATAGGACTTTTCGGAGTAAAGTTTTCAATGAAAAAATTGTTTTCTTCACTGGCCCATTGGTTTTCGTGTGCTCAGTTGGACATGTTCCGTGGGATAAGGGAGTAGAATGTTTGACCTCATTCACGCCTTTCCTCCTCTATAGTATGGGAGTGTGTGTCCTGGTGCGTGGGTTATTCCCCCACGAGAAAATGAAGGCCAAACAAAGTGTTTCAACTTGAAGGTGACAAAACTTTCCCAGGCTGTGCACTTCAGAGGATTCATCTATTCTTAACTCTCCTATACTTGCCTTTAAATATATTAAATTCTGTCTTGATTTCTGAATTTCTGCGGGAACTTGATACAGTAGCTATCTGTAAGCATGCCTGCATGTGTCTTTTGCTTGTTAAGGTATCTTCCTTGCTTCTTTAAAGTTTTTAAGCTACATTTTTCTATTTTTTTTTTTAAAAAAAAAACTGGCATATGAACTGTGAAGCAAAGCTCTGCTGTCTGGCATAGGTGGGACTACCAATTTCTCAAATCTGTGTTCCTGATGCTTTGGTTGGTCTTCGCACAGTGGATGGATCCCTGCAGCCCAGGGCCTGGACCTTTGCATCAGGCAGGGTTAAAGCTTGTCACTTAACTGCTTACTTTGACTGTTTTTTTTAAATCCTCACTTCAGGATATTTTTCTATTGATTTTAAGAGAGGAAAAGAGAGAGAGAGAGAGAGAGAGAGAGAGAGAGAGAGAGAGAGAGAGAGAGAAACATCTATGTGAGAGAAATACGTCGATTGGTTGCCTCCTGCACACCAGGACCCTGGCCGGGGAGGAGCCTACAACCGAGGTATGTGTGTGCTTTTGACTGGAACCCAGGACCCTTTGGTCCATGGGCCAACACTCTATCCACTGAGCCAAACAAGCTAGGGCACTTAGACTATTTTTAAAACTCAACTTCCTTATCTATAAAATGGAGAACGGTAATATTATCTACCCCTTAAGGAGGACTTAAATACAACAAAACAAATAAATCATGACATTTTTCTTCTCCCCGCCAAAGACCTAAATGTGAACAAATAAGAGATGTCTCTACTTATGCATTGCCCCCATGGGGCAGACACTTACGTTTTGGAAGGCAGTGAGGTGAAATGTTAAGGGTGTTGGTCCATTTTCCAGAACTCGGGAGACCAGAGCACTCCTGGCCATCTGGCTGTCCTTGGCCACCGGTGACCCCCTGCGACATGGGTCTGTGTTTTTAGTCTCAGCATTACTGTAGCCAGCCATTGCTTGCAGTGCAACTTCAGAATTCGAAAGGGGATTGTACCTGTGTGTGGTTAAAAAGGAACTGAATACTGTGCCAATATAAGGTGCTCAATCACTGGCTCCATCCTGCCCCCCCCCCAAAAAAAAGACAACTTTAAGCATATTAACTATATAATCTCTGTATTTGAAATTGAATACGTTGGAAGATATCTGGCTATCAGAGGCCAACAATCCTGTTCCTTGTATTAATTCACCAGCAAGAGTTCCATCAGCTGATATGAGGATTTATACATTTATGTGGGGTAATGAGAATAGAGTGGTTGCATAGTCATAAACAAGGTAGGCTGCTTCAATTTTTTCCCTTTCTGGTTAATAATTTTTAGTTGGAAAAAGACTGTTTTCTATGTACTCTGGTTTCTTTAAAATTGAGCATCTGAGATTTCCCCGAAAAATGTAAAGTATTGGTGGTTTTCAATTGTTTATTTCCTGAAGTGGTTGCTATTTTTCACTAAGTTAACTTTTTATTCAGTGAAACCTCCTGCTGATATGCTTCTTCATATAGCTCCTCTGACCCAAGGATCACAGGTATCACGAGTTGGTGGAGCCACAGGGCTGGGGCCGAACACGGCCATGTGTTCCTCCAATATTCTCATGTGTAGATGTGGGGTCTTTTCATGTCTGACTGTAATAATTTAATGGTTGCTGTATTTGACGTGGGTGAGCTCAACAGCTGTAGTAACATTCTTTGTCTTTGGTGTAATACATGCTCTCCTATGCCTTTCACCAGCATTGATGTCCCCCCATCCCTTTGCCTCTGAGGTGACATTTGGGATAGGTCAACCTGCTCAACTTGTATATCCAGAGTTTAGAGGATTCTGAGAATGACACCTCCCCCAGATAGTTGACAAACTGCAATAACAACACTTGTTGTCCTTGGTTCTCTCGGCTACCAACATGTTGCCTTTAATATCAGACTTTCTAGCATTTCAGAAATGTCTTGACCGTCAACTAAAGGTTTTCCTTTCGCTACCAGACTTGACTCCCTCCTCCCCCAAACCTACAATACACCATTTTCTGAGCTCGACTGCCATGTCCTGTAGATTATAGACGTTCTCCATGGAGTTTCTAACAATTCTCTCTTTCTCTCTCTAGACCTAAATAAAAACCGGAGAAAGCTTTTTGAACCGCCAAATGCACGCACCTCTTTCCTGGAAGGTGGAGCCAGCGGGAGGCTGCCCCGTCAGTACCACTCGGACATTGCGAGTGTCAGTGGCCGCTGGTAGCAGTGCCCCCCTGGGACCCCTGCCAACTTTCATCAACGTGGAGACAGGAGATCTGTGAGCGGCCATCACTGCACGCGTCCATAGCACTCTGGTGACTGGTATCAGGACCAAAGCATCTTATTCACACCTGAATTTTGTGCCAAAAAGGAAGAAAAGAGAGAAGATATTCTTATGTCATCATTCAGAATACCACATGCAGATTGCTTTTTAAAAAAACGGTAATTGGACAGAATTTGCAATATGAGGGTAGGGCTTTATTTCCTGTTTTTATTTACCTATATAACATATGCACTGATTTATTTTTTTTTTTTTTACTTAAAATGAAGGATGATTTGACATCTGGGATGCCAGAAAACATTGAAGTTATTGTTTGCTTGGTTTTTTTTTTGGTATTTGGGGATTTTTTAAAAATAATAATCAAAAGTGGAATTTTCTGGTACTGCTCTAAAATAAGTATTGAGGTCTTTCAGCACTTTACACTTTCTAATTTCTTGTCCTGTGGAAATGCTCTCATTTTTATGTCACCTGATGAAATGGTACAAATCAGATTTAGTCACATTTTTCTGACTGCGTTAAATTTTTATTTGAAATGGTATTGGATTATTAGTTTTTGTGCAGAATATCCTGTGACTTTGGGAAATGTAAGTGACTCCACTTGATTCTGGACCAGCTCTGTTCATTTATGTCAGCGTCCTAGAAGCAGTGAGCAGTGAACCTCGTTCACTGTAACAGGTGCAAAGAAAGACCAAATGGACTTTGCAATATTAACCCTTTGCAGTTATCATATTTAGCTGCTGCCTATATTGCTAAAATGATGTTAATGGTTGTCTAAAGGCAAAGGGCTATTTTTAGTATACTGCCACTAAAGGATACTTATTTATATCAAACTTTTTATTTTTAGATATTATAAGCATACCGTACATAACTGATGAAATTGATATCTACTAGAGATTTATGGTAGAGCATGGACGGCATTCAACAACTGGAGCCCTAGATTGTCACTTTATTTAAAAAAGACAAATAATCATCTGACAAGACAGCACTGTTGCCATTAGGAAGAGAGATAGATTCCTGTTCTTATCATGTACACATTAGCTGCGCTCCGTGTGGTCAGAGGACCTTCCTTAAGCCACATGTGTCTACTTGCAGTAGGCTTATGTATGTTGAGAACAGAAAGGCTTTATTTAAGTCTCCAGTGACAGTTTGTAAAGACAGTGGAGTTCCAAAGGAGGGGCAAAAATGACTGTTTTCTAAGTGGCCAGACTCATTGTTACAATCATATACTGTGAAAGTCCAAGAAATCAGGCAACATTGTTTCCTAGGTCTTTTCAGACATCTTATTGTGGATTTATGAAGGGTTTTCAATTCATGAAGAAAATCACTAAGTGCCTCCCTTTCTTCAAAGCAATATTATTTCCAAGTGTATTAATTTGTTGAAAAACTTTCCCATAGGAAATGTTGTGAATTACCTGTACTGTAATGACTTATTTATGTTCATTACTCAAGATTTTCTACATGGACATAAACCACTATTGCATGCTGTTAAGCAGACGGCATTAGATTACATAACAATTGGGGACTTTCATACAAATGCAGATTCGCAAATACTTGCCTGGCATTTTTCCATGCCTAAGTCTTACCATGAAAGAATAAGAAATGAAGAGAAATTTTGCACACAGAAATATTTTCACTTTAAAAAAAATTGTATTGGTTACTTTGAAGGCATAGATGATGGACCTGTCATAAAATTATCAATGATCGCAGCACTAAAGGGATGCTCATTTCTAAACTAAATTGCTCCCTTGGCAAGTACAGGTCACATGGACCTCCCTATCTTATGTGGCTGTACAGACACATCATGCTACACATTCAGCACAAGAATTCCAGATTTGTTTCCTGTTCAACAACTTGGTGCTCTACATTTTATCATTTTCTTTAATGAGACTTTCCCGATTACAAAGCATTTGGAGCTCTTTTCCCAGCCCTCTATGATGCATTTGCAACACGAGGAGGATGGGATGAATGTGCAGTATTAACACCTTTCGTACCGCTCAGGAGTTTTCTCGTGTTTCGCGCGCCATCTGTTAAGGACCGCTCACGAGTGTTCTCGTTTTTCACGCCCATGGAAAAAGGAGCGAATCTAGATACTTAGGTAAATTTTGTTTGGTCCCTCTTGTGGTCCCTGGCGTATGTCTTAGAGATTTCTATGCGGTACGCAATGTGTTAAGCTGATGGAGGTTTTATGAACAGTGCTTTACGCCAAAGGGAAAACTGTCCCAATTAAACTAGATTAAATAGGGTGGTTAAAAATAAATAAAAAACACTGGAAATTACTTTTCTCACTTTCTCTTATGCAAGGAAGGTAATATGACACTACAGTACACGGTGTTGTCAGTGTTATATGATGCACAAAATATTTGGATTATTTGAATAAATGGTAATTTTTAATCAATCTGTGCCTTAATAGTGACCAATTATCTGTAAATATAGAACAAATACAGATTGTATTTTTTGTGTGGGTTTTTGTCCTTTTAGTGATTTTTTAAAATGAGAGATGGAATTAAACATTGAAAATGGGAATTTTCTAATCAGTTGTTATATGAAAAAATAAATTTATATAACCCCTTTGTATTGCCCTTGCTAGATAAAATGCCTTTTTTTTAAAAAAAAAAATATCTTTATACAAATTCTGTGCCTCTCTTTGTTTTCTAAGACTTTTTTTTTTTTTTTTTGGTTTTGTGTGGCTCTGTTCAGCATAATTGAAAGATGTGTCTGCAGAATTGAATATGTTCTCTTTGTCCTGTTGTTCTGTGTTGACAGTTCTCATTTCACCCAGAAGCTAAGGCACTTTATTTTAGCCAATGAATGAATCCAGGACCAGTAATCAATCACTGTTTCTGTGGCCACCCATAGGTGCATACAGCAAGAGTAATATTATAGAAGAGGTTTTATTCTTGTCCTTTCTTTTATAGAGGCTCAGTTGCATGACCACTTTGACAGCCTCATTCATCAGCAAGGAGCTCCTGACTGAAGGGACGCTGGGCTTCCTGACCCAAGCTGCCATTTGAGACTGACGGTTGTGCGGCCACACTGTGTGCTCTCTGTGCTTTGCCCTGAGATCCTGTCTGAGCTCATTCTCAAACAGAATCGATACAGTTTTACTAATTCTGAGATTTGTCTAAATGTCAAAGAAAACCTAACCACCTCTTATGCACCCAGAAATCTCTCCACTTGAATTACCTGTGGTAATGGTTCTTAAAAATTGTTTCTAGCACACGAGTACTTTTTAATAACTGAACTCTTAACTTGGGAATCCAATATTAAATCATCATTCATTCAGGCTTAGTACGTACCAGGACTTGTTCTAGGAACAACAGTGAATGAAACACAAACCCTTACCCTCACTAAGCTTACATTCAAAATGGAGAAAGTGGGGCTGATGAAGAGGGATTGGAGGCGAGACTTCCCCTCCCTTCAACACAGTCTCCATGTGTGCATAGCATTCTAAGGAAACTCCAGTGCTGCTTAGAAACTCCAGTTGTTGTTATTACAAAACTCTTCAAAGTACCCATCTCACAGCAACAGGCCTGTGCTTTCAAATGCAAAATATTCCCAGTCTCCTTTTTCTAGGTTTTGTAGGTTTAATCACATTCTCAAAAAGAGTGTGCGGCCAAACGGGTTATGACTCACAGTTTTAGAAGTATACTCTGCATGACCCATCGCTTTTTAGGTCTGACTTCAAGTGACTGACTGCAGTATTTAGAAATCAGGTTTACCTTGAAATAATATGAATTTTCTGCCACAGAGGATATTCCAAGAATGCAGTAATATAGTCATGTCACCAAGATGGTGACATAGGTTATTCCTGACTCTGTTCCTCCTCACAAGGACAACTAACAACTATCATGGACAAAACAGCACTGAGAGAATCAATCCTAGAACATGGGAATGAGGCTGAAGTAAACTCCTGCACCATAGAGAAAAGGCAGCTGCAGTGGGAAGGTAAAGGAATGGCGTAATGCTGACTACACTGCCTCTCCCCCAGGCCAGTACAGCACCATGCAGAGAGGGCTACCCTGAGCTGACAGCTCCTCCAGGGGGAAAAGAGCCCAGATGACATCCAGCACCTCCCGCATTGTGGTCGCTTTGTGGAAGCCGTATACAGTGGTTTTACTCTTGGGGATCACAAGGGGATCTGCCTGCCAAAAATGGGGCATGGGCCTTCCAAAAGCTAGCGCTTGGATCTTGGCAGACAGATCTCCTTCCTACAGAGAGCAAGCACTAACGAGCGGCTTTCCTATCTGCAGAATCAAGTCAGTGGTGCAGTCTCACCTAGGAAACTAGTGGCATGCAGGTCTGCTTGATTTGGGAATTCTATTAAAGTTATTTAAATAGGGAGAAACTTCCTGGAAACAAATGGAAATGAACACACAACAACCCCAAATCTCTGGGACACAGCAAAAGCAGTCCTGAGAGGGAAGCTCATAGCACTATAGGCCTACCTCAAAAAACAAGAAAAATTAATAAACTATTTAACCCTACAACTTAAAGAATTAGAAACAGAACAACTAGAAAAGCCCAGAGTAAGTAGAAGGAAGGACATAATAAAGATTAGAGTAGAAATAGATGACAGATTTTAAAAAATCAATACAAATGATCAATGAAACCAAGAGCTGGTACTTTGAGAAGATTGATGAACCTTTAGCCAGACTTATCAAGAAACAGAGAACCAACAAAAAAAATAAAACCAGAAACAAAAGCAGTGAAGTAACAACTGACACCGCAGAAATACAAAAAATTGTAAGAAAATATTCTGAGCAACTATATGGCAACAAGCTGGACAATGTGGATGAAATGGAAAAATTCCTAGAACACTATCTTCCAAAACTGAATCAGGAAGAAATCAGAAAACCCAAATAGGCCAATAACAACTGAGGAAATAGATTGCAGTAATAAAAAAGCTCCCAGCAAACAAAAGCCCTGGTCCAGACGGCTTCACAGGGGAGTTTTACCAAACCTTCAAAGAACAACTAAAACCTCTTCCTCAAACTATTCCCAAAAATCTGAGAGAAAGGAACACTTCTAAGCTCTTTATGAGGCCAATATTATCCTAGTTCTAAAACCAGA